TGTTTTTTGTGTTTATTTTTAAAAAATCTTAGGAAGAACAGTGGTCTCCAGTTATGTGTTTTTAAAAAAAAAACAGATAAGAAGCATCTACAACGTAACACATTTAATAAACTTCAGAATAGTGTTAGAAGTTTCAATATTGTGACAATTTGTAACACTATCATCAAGATCCAACTTGTAGACATGTTATGCGTGCAATTTTAGATTTTTCAACCATTTAAATATATATGAAAAATAGAAGGAACTAAAAACTTTAAAATTTGGCTAAGTAGTAGGTTATAAGAATTTAGACTCAGCCGGAGGCTTCTTTGATGTCTGTGGTCAATGTTACTTGAAGGTTATGTGAATGTCTGTGGTCTGTGCTGCCGCCTGAAACCATGTTGGTGTTTGAAGGGCCGTGCTGCCAATAAGGCCGTGTCTGGGTCCGTGGTTCTGCTGCAGCTGGGGTTCATGTTGATGTCTGTGGCCTGTGTTACCACTGAAAGCTTGGCGGATGTCTGTTTTCTGTGTTGCCACCTGAAGCCATGTTGATGTCTATGGGCTGGGTTATCACTGGGGACCATATTGGTGTCTATGGCCTGTGTTGCCTAGGAGGCCATGTTGATGCCTTTGGCCTGTGCTGCCACCAAGGGTTATGCTGGTGTCAATGGCCTGTGCTGTGCTCACCAGAGACCGTGTTGAGGTTCGTAGCACATGCTGGCACTGGAGACCATGTGGATGTCATGGTCCATGCTATTGCCGAAAACCATGTGTAAGTGCATGATCTGTGTTCCTGCTGACTGTAAAGGGCAAAGAAACTACTTTTGTAATATTGACTACAGACTCACAGTTGAGAAAGAGGGACATAGAAGGCTTCTGTGACAACCCCTATCCTCCCTCACCTCCAAAAAGTTAACAGCCTAGATCGAAAACCATCGAAGAGAGCTCTTAAAATTAGTGATCAGGATGCTGGAGTATAGCTCCAAAATTGACGGCTTTTGGGGGGGTACAGGTGGGGAAGGATCTGACCACGGGGAGTTTGACCATGAGTGAGTATATTGTAGAACAAATTGGACTTTTTTTTTCTTCTTCTTTTTTGGGGCGGGGTCACAAGGGTGGAGAGTTTAAAAAAAAATAAACGAAAAGAATTTATGCTCGTGTGATTCAGTTTAAGAATATTTATTCCTTGAACTTTGAGTAGAAATTTTGAGGAGGACTGTCAAGATGGCTTATCCAATAGAAGCATTTGCTGTACAAGAAGCCTAACAACCTGAGCTTCAGACTCCAGACCCTCATGCAATGGGAGGAGAGAGCCAACTCCAAAGGTTGCCCTCTGACCTCTGCATGCTAATTGTGGCATAGTCACAGACACATCAGACATGTCACCCACAGACATGAGACAGAGAATGAGGAAGTTTGGAGGTGAAGTTAGTTGGATTGTTTTGCAAACAATGAACTATTTGCTTGCCCTTTTTAAATCCCATATTAAGCAAAAAAAAAAAAAAAGTCTGAAAACAAAGCCACCACAAATATACCTCTGATCTCAGGGTATTGGCATTCTTCAACAATAGTTGAAGAGAAATTTTAATTTCTGGATAAGCAGGTGTACTCTATCCACAGATATACCCAGCCTGAGGGGTTGAAGCAGACTGTGAGTATTTCGTTAAAATTTTCTATTGATAAAGAAAAGAGGTTAAGATCATCGATACCTCACTCTCTCCGGCCCTTTGTCAGGCTTCTGTCACATATTCAAGTTAGGACTACAGAAAATCAGATCTGGGTATAAAGGGACAAGAGAACTCCAGCTGACTTCGGCCCAGTACTAAATGTGTACAAATGTACTTCACTCTCGTTCCTGTGCTTAAGTTATATCCCGTGTTAGAGTGACTGAGCAGAGAAAGATCCTTTCTTGGTCAGGACAAGAGTCTTTCTGTATCTGCAGGAGCCAGCTAGGGCCATTTCATGCCTGAAGAACTGTCTGCTGAAGGGGAGCAAAGACGAGCATTTTCTGATTCAGCTTGTGCGTGTTTGCTATCTTCTCTTTTTGTCTCAATCTCCTAACCCAGATCCCTGCTGTGTCTCATCCTGATTTTATCACTGAGAGGAGCCAACCACACTCAGAGACCCAGTGCTGTGGGTGGAATCAGCTTGCTCTTGTTCTCAGATTTCTGCTTTCTGTGTTCTCTGGGCACCTTGTGCACAAGTCACATCATTCTTCCCCAGTCCAGAGAGAAAACTGGGTAACCCAGCAGTAGAAGCTCTGGTTTGAAAGTCAGACATCCTCAGTGTAGGGACTTTGGTTGATCTGTGTCACTGAGCAATCAGGACTGTATTCAGTCCTGTGGACGTGTTGGGTACTTTGCAAAAGTTTGTTGATTGCCAAGACAAATTTCTTGCTTTAGCTTCTTCAGCTGAACTTAGAGGTGACTCTCATTCCTCACTGACATAAAAGTGTATTGAAAATAAATATAATAAAATTAATTGAAGTGAAAGTTGCAGGTTAGTAGACAAGAGATGGACTTACAATATACTAAATGTAGGATTTGTAAAATAAGATTTCTCAGGGACCTCTTTGTCAGGCTCTGTGAGAAAGGACTGTAGGAGAGTGGGATTCTGTTTTCATCACTCAGTGATGTCTCTTTTAAAAGAAAATACTTATGTGTATCGATGTTTTGCCTACATGTGTGTCTGTGCACCACGTGTGCGCCTGGTGCTTGAGAACGTGCCAGAAGAAGGTCTTGGATGCCCTGGGAGTAGAGTTAGAGATGGGCTCTGTGAGAGCTGCTAGAGTTCTCAGTACTGAACTGTGTCTCTAGCCTTCTTGATTCCAGACACGAGTGAGCTTTGTTCACCAGTGCTGCCTCCCGCGTCTGAGACAGAGACTAACTACAGAGCCCAGACTGGCCTGAAATTCAAAATTCCTTCTTTTTCAGCCCCTTGAGTCCTAGCATTAAAGATAGGTGCTGTCATGCCCAGCTTCACCAGTGCTTCCTTCTGGAGTGCAGTTTTCCTCCTCCCTCTTTCTGATGATGGTCCCTTTCATTTATGAATCTTAGATAAATTAGGCAGTTGTGAAGAAAAAAGAGTCACTGCTGCATCTGCATTTCATAGAAGCTACAAACCCAGTACATTCCAGGCCACTTCTCTTTATAGCCTGGTCTCTTTTTCTCCATGCCCCAAGCTTGAAATTTTTTTTTTTTTTGTTTTCCCAAGCTTGAAATTTAAGTTTAAAATGAGAGAATATGACCTTAAGATGTTTGAAATCTCTACCATCTTGTTCTGAAATCAGGTAATCAAATATTTATATATAATCTTAAATTGTCCTTGGAACAAGAAAGGTTTTACTTATTATTAAAGTTAAATCGAGCATCTTATCTACAAGAAGAGTGGAAGTAAGAAATTAATATGAGCCATTTTCACCAAATGCTCATCTCTAATGACTGCTAACAGCGAATGTCTCCTTCTAGACAGAGAATATTTCATGTAAAGAAAATGGACCAGGCCGGGCGGTGGTGGTGCACGCCTTTAATCCCAGCACTCGGGAGGCAGAGGCAGGCGGATCTCTGGGAGTTCGAGGCCAGCTTGGCCTATAAGAGCTAGTTCCAGGACAGGCACCAAAGCTACAGAGAAACCCTGTCTCGAAAAAACCAATAAACAAACAAACAAACAAACAAATAAATAAATAAAAGGAATAAAGAAAAAAATGGATCAGGAGAGATACAAATCTCAGAATATGAAAGCCTAGGACCTGACCCACTAAACCTCACTTAGTGTTACTTAGGAAATGGTTCCTTACAAGACTTTGATGAGATAGGGGAAGCATTTTAAAGGCTCTGCCTGCTATCTTCAAGTTCTAGGTTAAGGGGCTTAGTTAGGGTTTCTGTTGCTCTGAAGAGACACCGTGACCACAGCAACTTGTAGAAAGGAAAACATTTAGTTCCGGCTTGCTTACAGTTTCAGAGGTTCAGTCCATTGTCATCCTGGTGGGACATGGCATCATGAAGGCAGACATGGTTCTGGAGAAGAATTCTACATCTTGATCTGCAGGCAACTGTGACACACTGGGTGTAACTTGAGACCTCAAAGCCCACCCCCCACAGTGATACACCTCCTAGTAGTGCCACTCCCTATGGGGGTCATTTTCTTTCTAACCACCACGTGTGTGTGTGTGTGTGTGTGTGTGTGTGTGTGTGTGTGAGAGAGAGAGAGAGAGAGAGAGAGAGAGAGAGAGAGAGAGAGAGAGAGATTTTCTAAGGCTAGAAGTCAATGGTTCTCCTGAGAATGAGGTATGAAAACTGAAGGGGAAGTCTATGACAGGTCAACAAATTTGAGATGGAGAGATGGGCTTGGGAAGAGATAGGCCAGGGCTATGGCTGTGAAACCAACTGCCGTAAAGCTGTGTACATCACAGGCCTTCTGCAGTGATGTACACATCAGTCATTTTTTTTTTTTTTAAATCCCTTTCTTCTTAAAGGGTAGCTGAAATTTTTGGAGCCTTGCTTTCTGACCCTTCTCGAGGGGCTACTGTTTGCACCTGTCCACTCAGCACAGGAATTCTTAAGCCAGGAGAAAAATTTTTTTTTCTTCTAATAATATGGAATTGCTAACCTAAATCTTTGCTGTTGCTCTGTGCAGGTTTTTTGTTTTTGTTTTTAGACATACGTAAGTAAAATGCAAGAAAACCATTTGGAATAGTAATACTTTGACCTGCCTTTTTTTAGCCCTTTAGTTTCATACAAATCATTTAGTTTGGGATCTCAGGTGATTATAATTATGAATGCTATGTATTGTTTTCTTGAAGTTTTTATATTTTGAGGTTAAAACTGAATTAATAGTATACTCTCTTTTCCCTCTTGAAACTTTGTCTACTTGATCTTTTTGTTTGTTCAAATGAAGCATGCATTAAGTATGGAATTAGATTAATGAAGTAAATATTATGAGTCACAACTCTCTAATCTGATACTCATTCTTATTTTTCTGACCCCGTGTTTTGTGTTCTCTTTCTTTCTCTCTTCATATAGGTTGTCAGTCCAGTGTGAAGCTGCGGAGTGAGGGAGCAAAGGTAAAGGATGATGTAATGCCCTGGCTGCCCTAAAGCATCTTTTGTTGTGGATGGTTATTCCCGTCATCTCTTTATGAATCAAATGTGAGGGGCTGCTTTGTGGAAGGAGTCCTGTGCAAGAGCGCATCGACAGGAAAGAGAGACATTCAGCTGGAGGGCTCTTGCTGAAATGGGTTTAACTCTGTGTTGCCAGTCACCACTAGCCTGACCTCATACATTCTTAACAATGGAGTGGCTGAGCCTTTGAGCACACCACCATTACATCATTGGGGCAAATTAAAGAACGAGGTGGGAAAAGAGGACTTATTGTTGTCATGGCCCATGAGATGATTGGAACTCAAATTGTTACTGAGAGCTTGGTGGCTCTGCTGGAAAGTGGAACGGAAAAAGTGCTGCTAATTGATAGCCGGCCATTTGTGGAGTACAATACATCCCACATTTTGGAAGCCATTAATATCAACTGCTCCAAGCTGATGAAGCGAAGGTTGCAACAGGACAAAGTATTAATTACAGAACTTATCCAGCATTCTGCAAAACAGAAGGTAAATTCTTTTATGACTTTTTAAATTAAATGGACATACTGAGGAAATAATTTCAATTGAAGCTTCATTTTTAGTACAAAAAGTAATTTGAGGAAATTTTGATTTCTTTTTAGATGTTAGCAATCTTGCAATACTTAAAAATAAATTAACAATCGCACTGTCACATTAAGAATATTTTAAACTAAGTCAGGCATTGTGACTTATGCCTATATGTAATCCTGACATGGGAGGTTGATGGGGAGGATTGCCACAAGTTCAAGGCAAGGTTGGGCTACATAGTAAAATCCTGTCTCAAAAATGTCAGGGGAAGACAAAATAATATTTTACATGATAGTTAATTTATTGTAATTTGGACATATACTGTATTTATTTGTATATTAATGTCTCAATGAAATCAATTTAAACAACATTTTGTCTTTCTCTAAATCCACTGACAGTCATTCTTTTCATGTGCTCTGAAAGTAAGAACTAATAATTAGAAGTGGAATTAACATTCATATGTGGTAAAACTGGTTGAGGCATTATGTTTGGGAAATTATTATTCTTGGAATAATAAAGTATTGTGCATACATGGGCTGTTCCTCCCCCTCCCCTTTTGTTTTTCTAAACAAAGTTTTATATGGCTCAGGTTGTTCTCAAAGTTGCTATATGGCTAAGGATGGCCTTGAACTCCTGATAAGTGCATCTTTTAATGAACAGCATCTTCTATCACATAGGTTTTTTTTCTTGTTACCTAGGAACCGTGTGCGTGCGTGTGCGTGTGTGCGTGTGTGCGTGTGTGTGTGTGTGTGTGTGTGTGTGTGTGTGTGAGTGATGTGCACGCACATCATGGAGGTCAGAAGAAAACCTTGGGTATTATCCTGGGAAATGTAATCTACCTCCTTTTGAGATGAAATTTCCTCCTAGCTTGGAATTCAGCAGTTTAGGCTAGACTGGTAGATCCCAGTGATTGAACTCGGATCGCCAGACTCCTATAGTAGCTATTTTAACAAACCTCCCTCCCTCCCTCCCTCCCTCCCTCCCTCCCTCCCTCCTTTTCTTCCTTCCTTCTTTCCTTCATTTTTTTTTTAAAGAGACAGGGTTAAAAAGAGAGAGACAGAGAGACAGGGTTTCTCAGTAGCTTTGGAGCTTTGGAACTCTGTAGACCAGGGTGGCCTCAAACTCACAGAGATTCACCTACCTCTGCCTCCCGAGTGCTGGGATTAAAGGCATGCACCACCACTGCCTGGTTTAACATGTTTCTTTAGGTGAAGGATTGTTATTTTTATTTTGCAAATTATAGCATTTGTCAACTTTACCCTTTTACCAAATTTTCAGCACATCATAAAAGTGGCATCAATTTTGCCTTTGGAAAAAATAATTTTTACAAGCACTTAACTGCTTCTGTGGTAATTATATCCAGTAAATTAATTGAATCTAATTTTTATTCAAGTTATTAATTGAAAACAAGTCATTAATTGTTTCAAAATCAGTAAAATGTGAGCTTTTACAAAGCCAGTGGCTTGTTAGATTATTTTTCTCAAACCATCCCTTACCCCCTAATCCCTCTTTGAGACAGTCACAAGAAGTCCAAACTGGCTTTGAATTTGTGTTAGGTGAGCATGTCCTTGTCTCCTGATTCTTCCTTTCACCTTCCTAGTGCTGGAACTGAAGGCTCACACCTTCCTTCTTAACAAGCTTCCCATTTGCATTTTAGGTTGACATTGATTACAACCAGAAGGTGGTAGTTTATGACCAGAGTTCCCAAGATGTTGCCTCTCTGTCATCAGACTGCTTTCTCACTGTCCTCCTGGGTAAACTGGAGAAGAGCTTCAGCTCTGTCCATCTGCTTGCAGGTGAGTGGGTGCAGCCGAAAGGACCTGCTGGCCTTTGTTGTTGTGTGACAGCGGTACCACAACTGGTGTGTAAGGTGAACTACGGCTTTTGATGAATGGTTCCATTGATCTTAGATACTGTTATTTCTCCACATTAAATTAGTCAGTGGTGTTTTACTTTGTTTTTTTGTTTGATTTTGATGCAGGGTCTCACTTTGTAGCCCAGGTTGCCCTCAAGATTGAAGTAGGTAGTTCTCTGCCTCAGCTTCCTAGTACTGGAATTACAGGTGTGAGCCATCACCCTGGCTCAGAGTAATCTGGCCAGCGTAAATTCCTCTTGGCATTTTATTAGCTGGAAATGTCACATAAGGCCAGCTCAGAGCCACTTGCTTTTGTCTGATGATTTTATGTGTCCCTACTGTGTAAGAACACTGAGTGATCTACATCTCGGCTCCTGTGAATTCTCTCCCTGTGGCCAGAGCCACAGCCTTACAGTGTCAAACACTTGAAAAAGACTCCAGAGACTTCTTGGGTATATGAATAATAAAATCAGGAACAAATTGTGCAGATTGTTTCTTCAAATTATTATGTAGATTTTAAAAAACTTATTTACTTATGTATTTGTGTATGTGTGTGATTTTTGGTTTTTTTTTTATGCTTAGAAAAAGGTTTTAATATATAAATGCCAAGCAACTGGGTCATTTTGTAAGGCACATGGGAAGGACTGCTCTCCCCAAGAAAGAGCAGCGTGGCAGGTGCATCTCATGGAATTAGAACAAAACTGTTCATCCTTGGCTTACTTGTTGCAGACTGGCTCTCCCTGGGGCTTGTAGAAGATCAGAGTGCAAAGCTAAACCACTAGTTAGCCATAGAAGCCAGGCAGTGGTGGCACATACCTTTAATCCCTGCACTCCAGAGACAGAGGTAGAGGAACCTCTGTGAGTTCAAGGCCAGAATTGAATCTGCCTAAAAGAGAAACAGAACTCACAAAAAGGTGATTCCAACACTAGGGAGGTGGAGACAGGAGTGATATGTCTGGGCAGAGAGAGGACTATAATATGGGAGGAGACAGGAGCTCAGATGCAGTCTGAGGATTCAGTCCGAGATGCCGTCTGAGGATTTTTAGAGACAGCAGCAGTCTGAGGATTCCTAGAGACAGGGTCACCCCTTTGGTCTGAGCATTGGTAGAGGTGAGAACTCTCTAGTTGTTGGCTTCTCTGCTTCTCTGATCCTTCAGCTTTTACCCCCTTAATATCCTACTCTGTATTCTTATTATTAAGAACAATTAGAATTTATGCTACAGGGGCAGGCACACAGAATGGTAAATACAGTTGACCAATGTGTAGGACCTTAACATAAAGCTGCTACCAGACAGATTCCAGCCATAATACCCACGAGGTTTTTTTTTGTTTTTTTTAATGTGACCTGAGAAAAGATATAGGTATTGTCATTTTCCACCTTTGGTGTTTATTGGAAGGAGGATAGAGTGAGCTTGATTAGTTATTGGTGATTAGATTAGGTCAGTTGTTGGTGTATGAATTGTTTTTAAATTTAACACTGTGAAATTCCATACAGATTTAGATAAAATCTCCGGTTCTGTCACACATTTTTGCTTCAGTTCTCTACGAGCAAGGATAGTTTTTGTTTGTTAGTTTTTGTTTTGTTTGCCTTTTCCCCCCTCAGGTCATCTCTAACCACATCTTATATTTATGCTTTGATTCTCTCGGGTCTCTATGAATGGTAGTTCTATGACTACAGTTTCTGATATTTTGCCTGTCTCTGTTTATAGATGTGTGTAATGCTTAGCAGATGTTCTAGCACTGAGCCTAATCAACCTCTGCCCTTTCACCCATCTTGACAGGCACTTTTTAAAGGGGTATATAAGAGCGCTAGCTGTAACAACTGTTCAAATTCAACTAAGGGTATATTTGGTACTCATTTCGAGTTTTTGTAGCCACCGTGATGGACTTTACCTCAGAGGGCTCTTAGTGAGTGCAAGGTTTCTTGTGATCTCGCTTCACTAACCCATGAAATGAGAGGATCACTCATGTTGGACAAGCACAGTATTTACTGAACCATACCCCTAGTCCCAGTCTTTAAAGAGTTGGTCTGTCAGGACATCCACCCTGCCCTTTTGAAACATTTTCCCTGTGGGAGTTCTGACCTGACAGCTTGGTCAACAGATAGCCATTCTGTGGATGTGTTCACAGTGAGTTTCTGGGTAGATGTCTTACGGGCCTTTATTTATTCCCTTTGCTGAAGAGCATCCCTTTGTTTTGTGAAAAGGTTATCAGTCATGTGTGACTTTGGGAGAGGTTCTCACTGGGTTACAAGGGAGAATGAGGGTTCAGTCTAGGTAGCTGGACCAACTGTATGACAGACCGAGTCAGAACACCTCGTTCCCATTTCATGTAAGAAACTTTGCCTAGATGTGTGGAGTGCTAGGTGAATGGGAAGAGAGTGTCGGTCGGGTCAGGTGGGATTAGAAGTCGCTGAAGGTAGAGCAAGCAGGATGCAGCTGCTCTGCTCTGTACTGGATCCAGTGCTCATTTCTGCTGTTTGATCTGTCGAAATAAAACTCAGGCTTGTGAGGAAGAGAGTACAAACAAGCCATTTCAGTGTTTGACGACACCTTTACTCTAAACCTTAGATATTGACAGAAGGAAGGGCTGAAAGGAAGAAAGCAAGACTGGACGAGTAAAAGCAGAGTCAGGGTCGTCTGATGGGCTTGGTGCCAAGGCTAGCACTGCCTCCTAGGTTTCTGACATCTTTATCGACACAGTCCATGAAGCTGAGAAAAAAAGGGGCTATGTTTTTACTCTGCCACTCGTGGCTGAATGTCTGTAAAAAGTCATTTAGCTGGACTTACAGGTTTTTTTTTTCTTTTCCAGCTATCAAAAAATAGATGCTTCACTTTGAGAATATTTTTGTGAGAATCAGATAGTGCATGTGAAATCTGTTTCCGTAGTCTTTTTGAAGACTGTCACCATTTCAAACTAGAAGACAATAATAATCAGTTGCTAACATTGACTTATGGATCAGCTATTTTTGGTTTTGTTAACCTTAAGAAAACTTTAAAAAACAAACTTTTTTCTTGGCTTTTACTTACCCACTGTTGATCACTTTATCATCTTAGTCTTTTTGTCCTTGTCCTTGTCTAAGTGCTAGATTTATTTCACAGAACTTAAATAAATATAGGAGAAAAGCTCCTTTAACTCTGCTAACATATATGCAGAAATGAATTAATTTGATAACAAGTAGGTTAAAAGATAATCTACAGATAAACAATACTATTCTGTTTCTTTTCTCCCAGCTTTTTTTTTTTTGTTAGTCTTGAGATATACCCACATCTGCATCTCTTGATCCTCCTGCCTCCACTTCATATCCTACCCACATGTGCTACCCCAGCCTGCGTGTGGCACTCAGTCTTCTTGCCCAGCCTCTGGAGTGTTGGAATTATGGGTGGTGTAGCCGTGCCCGGCTCTCTTTCCCCACTGAGTAGATGCAGAAGGGCAGCTTTGCTGTAGTGCAGTGGTAGCGTTTGTGCTTCACGTGTAAGGTCCCCGGTTGACTCTCATCATCCCCTTGTTTCTAGAAGGAATGGTGGAGAGGATAGGCCCATGCACTCGCTACCTTTCCTCTCCCCTCCCCTCCTCCTCATCTACCCCTCCCCTTCTCCTCATAGAAGTCAAGCATAGGGCAAATTCTGAACCACTCAGCTATATCCCTAACTCATTTCTGTCCTGTGATGAGTGACAGGATAACTGTACAGCAGATAAAACTCACAGATGAATCACAGACTTCTGCTCTTTCACATGCAAGGGAGTGGCTCAGTGACCTGAGTTTTCAATTTCTCACCATTGCCTAAGGCTCATACCTACAAGTATTTCCAGAATCTTTTAGAGTTTTCTTAAGTCTAGATTGAGAATCAAGAGTGCTTTCTCTGTCTCTCTCTCTCTGTGTCTGTCTGTCTCTCTGTCTCTATCTCTTTTTGAAACAGGCCTTTCTATGTAGTGCTGGTGGTCCTGGAATATCTAGACCAGGCTGGCCTCGGACTCACAGAGATGGTCCTGCCTCTGCCTCCCGAGTGCTGGGATTAAAGGTGTGCGCCACTACTGCCCTGCTGTATATTGAGTCTTTATGTATTTTAAATGGGTCTAGAGTGATTTAATAGCTTTGTTAATAAATGTTAAGTTTCTGTTTTACAGAATTACTGCACTTCCCAAGGAAAGCATAATAGAAATAACTTTTTTCTTGTTATAGAGTTGCTATTTGTGCTACTATTATTAATTCTATTATCTAGTATGACGTCTCTTCACTTTGAAAATGAAATAACATTTTCAGTCATTCCACACCAAAACTTGTAGCATCTGGTAAAAGATTAAAATAAATATATTTCAATAAAAGCACTCCAGTTATTCAGAATTGGTTATTATTTGTCAGAAACCAAACAAAAAACCAAAAAAAAAAAATTGAAGTGACTGAGAGTCACAGAAAATAGAAAAAACATTTACATATACAATGGAATTATTTAGCCTTACAAAGCAAAGGGCTGGGGGTTACAGCTCAATGGTAGAATATTTGCCCAACATAGTTGTTGCTCTGGGATCAAGCTCAGGATTGGGGAAAGAAAACTCACGCTATTTTCTGTACCATGAACCAGTAAAGAAAAATGCCGAGTGATCAGCTAGGTACAGAGGAGCAGTGCCGCACCAGCCGCACTCACATACTGAGTCTGGGACAGAGAGGGTTGAAGTCAGGCGTGGTGGCCTGTGCTTGTTGTCATACCTCTTGGGAAGTGGAAGCAGAAGTGTGAGGAGTTTAGGTGATCAATCCTTGGCTTATATCAACCCTGCTTAAAAACACAAACATAAACAAAGCAAAAAGGAAACAGTTGAACGGGTGCTGATTAAATGATCTGAGCTATTGAGTAGGTTTCTAGAGGTTGCAACTTGGTGAGTATAGTGAATAATATACTTGAAATCTGCTAAGAGAATAGGATGTGTTAATATTATAGCCAC